TCCAAATAAATTCACATATAGAAGTCTAAATGTCTCAGTGGCTTGAGAAGTCAGCCTGAACAATGAGTAATATAAAACCATACCATTGGCAAGATTGTGAACAAAGAAGGCTCCCATTGCCATTCCTTTGTCTGACCCTGACCCCAGGCACTCAGAGGCCAAGGGATTGCTAATTTGGGATTCAGTGCAGGAAATGTCTGGCTCCAGAATTTTCTCTCCCTCTTCTGCTTTAGTATTTACTGTCACTTCCTTCCCTCTGCCCTACACAGAGCAGAAGATTTGATCAATTAATTTGCACTAAGGTGTAAATGACTGATACTGGTTCAAAGTAACTCAGGGTGGAAGCCAAAATTTCTCATAATGGGATGCTGCTCCCCACTATTTCCCTGGTTTCATTTTTCTCAATTCCTGATTTCACATGCTCCTTTCCACTTTTATTTTCTTCCAGGGTTTGATGCCCATCTCCTGCAGTTTCCTGGTTATCTAAATTCAGTCTGCTTCTAATTCTGTTTTTTCTCTGTATACCAGATTTTTAGTAACTCTCTCATGACCATCTTGGGCCTCTAATTCAGCGATGCAGTCTTCTCCAAGAGCACTTGTACTTGAAAGGAGCCCAATGATTAACTCAGAGGGATTGCCCTGGAATGTTGAAGTTTCAGGGGAGGCCTCTCTCTAATGCTTGAAGTAAGTGCTCCCATTCTCTGTTGTTCTTATACATCATAAACCTGCATATTTGGCCTTTGGTTTAAATCCCTGGAAAGACCGTGGTCAATCCTTTTGGACAGTGCCACCAAAAGTGTGGTCTACAAGTTGGTCTGGTAGGTGAACTGTTTATTTGTTCACAATGAGATAAGTATAGAACTGCAGGGTAAACATTTAGAAAATTTTATAGTAATTATTTTACTAGGTTATATTTTTGAACATATTTATTCAAATGTCATTTTATACTTATTAACTCTAGTAAAAATTGGGCTTATTGCTTTATGTCTTTGTTTTTTTCCATTTCATTATTAGTAATTTTCTCATATTATAAAAGTACCAATTCTAACATATTAGAAATTTGAAAAAAAAACCCAAAATGGTTCTTTAGCATAAAGAGTTTGAGAAATAGAAATCTAGAGATCTTTTTTGGAAATCTGGTCTCTATAGCTCACAATTCTTGCTGGATTATTTTCTTGGCTTTGCCATTGGCCCAGCGGGTCAATGAACAAGTTGCTCAAGTACTTTGAGTTGAGACCTTTTCTTTCCATTGCCCAAAGATAATTATAATGTAAAATGTATTCAGATTGAGCCAATTTTTATTAAGCACTTTTGCAACAAAAGGCCAGAAGTTTTGGAGTCAGACCTGTGTTCAAGCCCAGCTATATAACTTCAGAAGTATTTTCTGGCTTCAGTTTCTTCATTTACAAAGTAGACGTGATTCCCTGCCTCAAGCAGTTTTTGTGAAATTAACTGCAAAGGGTCTAGACAATGCTGTCCAATAGAACTTTCTGCAAAGATGGAAATTAGTAATATCTGCTCTGTCCCATAGAGACCCACGTGGCTACTAAGCACTTGCAATATTTAGGCACTTAATATGTGACCAAGGAATTGAATTTTTATTTCAATTAAATTTAAAAACCACATGTGACTAGTATATTTTACAAAAAGTTTAGCCTATGTACCTGCATGTAGTATGTTCAATGTTTAAAGTTTTCTTGAAGAACTGTATTTGCCAGGTAATGTTTTAGAGTTAGACACTGGACGTATATTGGTGAATAAGAGAAACATAGCCCCTGTACTTATGAAAAAAAAATATGGTTTATAGGAAGACGAGTTACAAACTGTTTTCATAACCAGCATCAAAAATACTATATAGAACCAAAATAAAAAAATTAGTCTGAAAAAGAAACGTTTTTAACAAAAAAATTATTGGGGAAGGGGTTAAAGACTAATAGATGAAACAGAACTTGACCTTATTTTTTACAATAATGTCAGTATCACCCTGGAGCCCTGATCTGTTGAATGGTTCCTCTTAGTGGGGGATGGTAAATGAACCTTTTATGGACTGGCAACGGCTGCCCTCCCCAAAAACCTCGGTGTCCAGAGCTGGTCTGAGGCATAAGCGGGAAAATGTGTTGAGGAGCCAAGGAGCTTTCTGAACAGAAAGGGACTAAAATGGACTCTCTCCTATAGACTGAGGAGTTCAGAACAGAAATGATGCCAGAGAAGGAAGTCAGGACTGGTGTCCCAGGCTCCACATGAAGGTTTGAGAGCAGAAGAGGCTGGCTGCGCACAGCTGTGGCTGAGGCAGGCAGGCCCTCCTCCCTTATCAGCCCCTGAGGGTCCTGCTTTGGGAGCCAGGCCAGAACATGTGAGGGGAGCCAGGAGAGTTGTCATCTTGCATCGCTCTGGTCTGTGTGGGGATCTGAACCAGAAAGGGTACCTTTGCATAGTGGATGGAGACACTTGGAGGGAACAGGGATGTTGCATGGCAGTAGTAGAAACCGCAGCAGCTTAAAACCAGGGCTCTCTGGTGAACTGACCTAGTTCCCCAGTAGCTTTCTCAGAAGCAGCACTGGCCCTGTGGGCTAAGTGAGCCTCTTGGCAGTTTGTGGGAGTTGGGGAAGTACATACTGTAAGAAGGAGACACTGGACTTTTTGCTAAGATGGGAAGGCTGGTGGCTTGAGGAATTAATTGAAAAATGAAAAGAGATGCGATTGCGGTTTTAGCTCAAGCTATTAAAATAGGTCCTATGTACTTGTGTGCTGAGTATACTGAAGGGAGAACTAGGTGCTAGGCAAGCACCTGACAAGGGAATTTAATGTAATGGGTGTGGTGAGGGGGTAGATTCAGGGGAGGCTTGATGAAGTGATAGTTTAGTGGAGACTTAATGGATGACACAAACTCAGATGGACAAGGAAAAAGAAAGTAATTTAAGAAGAGCAAATACTATATGAGAAACTCAGATTTGAAAGAGGGGGATGTCTCTGAAGACTAGAAAATCCTTTATGGCTAAAGCATGGGTAACAAAGGTGATAGTGGTGCCGTATAAAACTGCATACATGAGTCACACCTCCCAATGGGTGTGTGAGCAATGGGAAGTCATGGAAGAGATCTGATCAGAGGAGACATGATAGACCTGAGAAATTAAAAGCTCATGCTAGCTAAAAGTGAAAGTCAATCATATTGGAGACAGCAGGAGTGGATGCAGGGAGATGAGTGAGGAGGGTTCTGCCCTAGTCCAGGTTGAACCTTGGTGGTGGCAGTGAGATTGGATTAATCAACTGCAAAATGTTCATTCCCAGGTCGCTTCCCATTTTACAGATAGAAAAATCATCTCAAAGGACTTAGGTGATTCGTGCAAGACCATAGAACCAATAAATGATAGCACCAGCTCCACATCTAGCCTTCTGACTTTGGTTTAAAGCTCTATCCACAGAACCAGCGGTTCTCAACCTTTTTTCGTGACACATGAGCTTTTGCGCATGGCCACCACATTTCCACATTTGTATCCATGTATCTCCTATGTAAGAAAGCAGATTCCAATGCACAATTGTTAGAGAGGGAGGTTATTATACAGGCAACCATGATTTCACTCTGCTTCATTAAAAACAAACAAACAAAAAAAGGAATCACTTGCAAATTTATTCATTCAGCCCTTATTAGTAACAAGCTCTCCACTGCAGTTGGTGCTTGAGTCTTGCACCCAGGAGCTACTGATGTCCTCACTCACTCTAGAGATTGAGATGAGGGATGAAGGGAGGATTTTTCTCCTGCTCTACCTTTGAGTATAACTCCACTTTATTCTCCAAAAGGAAATAAGGACAGAAGGCTCTACTGCTCATTTCTAAGGTGACTAAAGGGTTCTCAGGCCCCAGGCCTGGAAATATGGTATAAAGATAATATACTAATAAACTGCACTGCATCTGCCATGACTCTGAGGTCACAGATTTGCAGAAGTAATTCTGTTTAGTCAAAGTTTTGTCCAACAAGAACTTGTGATTCCCTCTTTATGGTGGAGCAACCTTCCCCTCCACTTTTGTCATTTCTCTCTTCTTCCTCCTTCCCTTTTCTTTTCTCCCTCCTCCTTTCTTTTGACAATGGTTCCTTTTAATCTACCTTAGAGGGGTTTGTGGATATTACCCAAGCTAATGCATATAGAGGGCAATGGGCAAAAATAGAGTATGATAATATTTCATGACAGATGAGAATATAGAAGTTAGATTGTAAATGTGGGAAAACAGCCACCTAATCATCGCCCAATCCTCAAATAGTGATCACCCCAAATTCTATTGAGTTACTCCCAGATGGCATTTCTTTTTCTACAGACAAGGCTGTGTATCAATCTTGGGAGGAGCTTGTTGGGTGCTGACAAAGGGATAGTTTAGGGAAGCACCAAATGGGACTGCAGATAGTCAGGCCAGCGCTCCAAGGCAGCAGGCATGCTGTGTCCTGCCCGGCTGGCACAGTAGGAGTGGGGATCTGCTGAAAGACCTCAGGGTGCCACCAAACAGGTGCTTCCCCATCTCCAAATTACCTCACACACTTTTCTTCTTTTCTTACACAACCAGGAAATTCAGATTCCTGGGGGTAAGGGGAGGGCTTAGCCCAGCTCATATCCAGAATGAGGCAAGGAGCGCTGAGAGCTGAAGGAGTTGTCAGAAAGGATCCTGGCATCTTCCCACCAGTGAATGCTGACCACATAGCTGTCCAACATTGCCAAAATAACACCAATCTCATGAGGCTAATGGCACTTCTCGGCTCAAAGAATAAAGCAAACGATTTCAGCCACAGAAACAAAATATTCCTTTAAAAATATTCAGTGTAAGAGTTTTAGCTCAATGAAAACTAGAGCCATTTTCTTCTGGGGGAAAAATCATCAGGACAAACCCAAAGCAATTCATAACCATTGAGTGGATTTGGTATGAAACCAGGAAGCGGGAGGCCAGTGGTGAAAACAGAGCCCTTCACTGCAGACACCCAGTCCACATGGTTACTGTGAATAAAACTCACCTACCTTTTCTTGAAGAAAGCTTTTGGCAGAGTTGTTTTTTCAGGATTATCATTGTAACTATGAATATTAAAGCAATGACGAAGGAAGGGATGATAATATGAAGCAGCCAAGTTGAAGGGACCTCGGGTTCCATCTCACCTGGGTGAAAGAAAAGCACCACAATTACATGGTAGCTCAGATGTAAATCAACAAGCTGGCCTTCTGAGTGGGTTATAACCAACATGGCCAACTTGCACTGAGCATCTAACTCATGCTAGGAACTTTCTCTGAGCCCTGTGTGAACCAGCTCATTCACTCCTCATAACCACCCTAGGAGGCAGGCTCAACTATGACCCCATTTTATTGGTAAAAAAATGTGAGACCTAGGAAGCTTTCCCAGAGTTATACAGTAAGCGTCAGATCGAGATATAATCTAGGCTGTCTTGTTCCAGATTCCATGTTTTGCATCATTCTGACACATGTATCATATTCTATCTATGTATCTATGTATCTATCTACCTATCTACCTATTTGCCTATCATCATCATCATCATCATCATCTCTCTTTATCTTTCCAGTAGGGTAGTCTCTCAGTCCAAAACTGTCTCCCTGCTCCTCTGTCATGGTGCTCAGAATCTATATTCATTACTTATTAAATTTCAAAGAATTATAGGATCCTGTGGAAGAAATAAAATCTTATAGGTAGTATTCATATACAAAATCCAGTCATTGAAAATTATAATAATTAGCCCCTTTCCTTGTCATAGCTAATGAAGGTCCTGGCACTGTGGAAAAGATGAGTTTAGTAGAGAAGTGGATGAGAAAGTAATTTGGGAGCCTGAGGAAAACCTTATAAAGGGGAGCTATGAATATCTAAAGGTTAGAATGGGGGCCCAGGCTGACCAAAGACAGGGCTGGAGGGGGGTTCACTGCAGGGAAACGGTAGGGGACCCATGGTAAGCTATGCCTTTTCCATAAACATGAAGTTTGCTCCTCTGTCATGGTGCTCATGAAGTAATATATATGAAATAAACATAGAAAAACCTGGAAACACTGCTCAGGGGGAAAGGTTCAGTCCTGCCCACTGCCTCCCCTCCCCCAACACAGTGCCTTCTGAAAACCATAGGCAGTTTTAGCTGAGAAGGGCAAAGACATCATTTAATCTGAGCCCCTTATTTGAGAATTGACAAAGTAAGCTCAAAGATGAGAAATAATCTATCTAAGGCAGTGGTTCTCAACCTGTGGGTCGCGGCCCCTTTGGCGGTCGAACGACCCTTTCACAGGGGTCGCCTAAGACCATCCTGCATATCAGATATTTACATTACGATTCATAACAGTAGCAACATTACAGTTATGAAGTAGCAACAAAAATAATTTTATGGTTGGGTCACAACATGAGTAACTGTATTTAAAGGGCCAGAAGGTTGAGAACCACTGATTCTAAGGTCATCACTGCTAAGCAAGTGGCAAAGCTGAAATTGCAAACCCATATCTCTCTAATCCAAAGCTCTGGCTCAATAGATACTTTTCTCTATCTAAAAGAGTGTGGTGAACACTAAGGAGGAAAAGGAGTAGAAAGACTGGCTCATCTATACATTGGATAACCCAGCCTTCAAGAAAATATTTTTATTGAGGTATAATGGACATACAACATTACATTTGTTTGAGGTGTACAACATAATGATTCAATATTTGTATATACTGTGAAATTATCACCACAGTAAGTCTAGTTACCAAACCTCAATAGATAACCCACATTGATTACAGTCGTCTCCTTCACCCCTAGGAAGTGCTATTTAAGCACTTGCCGCATGTTGTACCATGAGTCAGGGAGTCCTGGGAACCCTCACCATTCCCACAACAAGAAAAGTGCCTTCCTCAGGGCCTTTATGCAGACACTTGTCTGTCCAGTTCCCTTATAGTCCTTTCCACATACAAAAGCTTACTCATCCCTGAAGACTTTCTAAAGTTGAACATCCAATGGAACATCAGTCTGCTTAGATTGTAAGTATTTGAAGTGCAAAGACTTTATCTAAGTCACCTCTGAATCCCCTATAAAGCCAAGCACTGCTACATGAATGGTGTCAGTAAGGATTTGTTGGGCTGAATTGACCATCTACTTAGTCCACCTACCCCAATCTTCCTTGTCAGCAGTTACCTTGTGGCAGACTGCCCCTTGTTCCTTAAGTCCATTCTGCTTTTCTTCCCTAGTGTTAGCTAAGTGTTAGCTGGACACATGGTTTCTCAGAGACTACATTTCTAAGCCTCCCCTATAAATAGGTGTGGCCAGACATGTAAGTTAACTTCAAGCCAAGAGAATGGGTCTTCTGAGTTTTGGCTTTAAAACACTAAATATGCCTCTTTTTCCTTTCTGAAGGCTAAAACATGGATATGGCAGTGACCCAGCCTTGACAATTCAACAGGAATAACACCCTGGAGAATGGCAGAAAAAGATGGAAAGAACCTGGACCACAGAATGACTTTATGCAATATAGCTACTTACCTGCTCTGATCCACCTTCTAATTCCAAATATTACATGAGGGAGAAATATACTTTTGTCTTGTTTGAGTCACTATATTTTCAGGTCTCTTAGTCTATATGTAGTATTCTAAACTGTTTTCTAATATTTACATGCTACTTAACAATGATGTGATGCCGTATAGGACAGCAATTTGTTTTATCGTTACTCACAGTCCTATCCACTCACAAGGAAGCCATGCCTCTTGCTAAAGATGCCATTCTTTTTCCTGTTTCCATCTTTTCTGAGTGCTAGGGACTTTACAATTATATTTCATTGAACAGTCCCAATAGCCTTGTAAGGTGGCTACCATTATTTATCCTCATTCAACAAAGGAGGACAAGGGACACTTCTAGGGTGGCTCAAGTTCTCAAAGCCATAGGTAGCAGAGAGGATTTGAAACTCAAGCCCATCTGACTTCAGAGCCCGCATGCTTGACTAATGCCAGAGTCACTGCCAGGCCTCCTAGAAGGGCTTCTCTGCCAGCCCTATAAGAATCTGGGCTCCAGTCTTACTAGATACTTCCTAATGAAAATGCAACAACTGACTGAGCAGATTAAACTCTGTTTTGAAAGGAAAATCGTTTTACTGCTTTTTAATTTCTGATGGAAAGTTAGGATGCTCGGTCATCCATTCTAGAGTCATGGGAGCACCACCCACCCCCAGAATTTCATTGCTGTCTTTGATTCATCGACTTCTGGAAAAACCTGTGGTGGGTCACAGAAATCAGCACTGAGCAGCTGAACTTATGAGAATGAGTAGAAAGGGGATAGTCATAAGACAACTTAAAATGCCTTTGAGAAATAGAAGCTAGGAACCCGTGGGAGGATGTGTGACTGTGGTTAGGTATTTGTACCACAAGCCAGGGTATATCATTTGACTGCTCTGACCTGACTGTCCACACAGTCTGGAGGCTGGGGTGATGGGTCTGAGATCATCTAAGACTAAGCCTTTAACCAATTAGTCTGACCTTGATTGAGCACTTACTATCAACAGAGTACTCTGTTTTTGCTTTATCTGGGTATAAAGAAGACTCATGTGAATAATTAAAATACATGGAAAATAAAATAGTAATGGAAGAGAAAAGATAAGTACAGTCACAGGCAAACAAAGAAGTGGCACAATTGGTCTCAGGAGGCAAGATGAGGGGAGACTGCTTGTATCCTGGGGTTACCTGAGCTGCCCTAGAGAGAAAGTGGGCTTGGAGCTGGTGAATAATGATTTCTTATGTGGAATAAAATGCCTGAGCAAAGAGGTCATGGCGGTGGGAGAGGGTCAAGCAAGACCAGAGAGTACATGGTGAGGAAGGGGAGCTGACTGGAGCAGAGGATCATGTCAGGGGATAGTAGGATGACTTTAAAGCTGGGGAGGATGAGTAAAGCTAGGTTGAGAATTTCTAATTGCAAAGATTTCTCCATCTCCATGTTGGTTGCATTCATGAGTGATATCCCAGGCTTTGATGCAGGCCCCACAGGTCTCTCCCACAACTGTTGACTATTCAGTCAGGTGTGTTGGCTCCCCAGAGAAAGAGGGGCCGCCTTACTTTATTCTTAACTTCTCACAGTCTCAAGGCTTCCGGAGAAATGATCAGTCTGCCCTTATACTTCTCTAACCCAAGAAAAAACACTGATGCAAAAGGCAGATTCGAGTTGTTTCCAAATTCATCTTAGCCAGGCCTGTATTTCTCTGTGGCGATCCTTATATAAGTGTTCTAGAAAACCACATTCCATAAAACACTTAACCAAACAGAAAATCCCACATATCAAAGGATAGTTGAGTAAACATAAAGGACAGTCGAGGAAAAATAAAGTCCCCTGGGATTGTTAGTATTTAAGCCTCTAAAGCGGTAGTATGAATTAGTTATAGCTCGATTTTCATAAGGTGACAAGTCTGGTAGTCTTAGCTGTGATAAAAACAGAAATAAAGATTATTGAAAAGCCAGCTTGCCTAGTTAACTATTTTCATTCAAAGTTGACCCTAAAAATGATGTTTCTAGTGTCTTTATTTCTATCAATATCCTTAGCATGATTCCTCTCTTTACCTCATTTCACCGCTAACATTAGTGTTGGAATTGTATAGAGACGTGTAGGTAGGTAGGGAATTGGGGGCAGTTGGGAGCTTGGAAATTGGACCAGCAGGAAAGGAAAGAATTATTATATTGGTGGAGTAATTTATCTTAATTACCATGAAGAACTTGAAAGCAATTACATAATGGAGGCAAGGAAAGCTATGTCTAGAACTCAGGGATCCACCGATTCTGATTTTGGTTACTTCCATGCCCATTAATAACAATGAAAAGGCAATTGTAGCAACCTGAGTCAGCTAAGGGTAAGGCAACTAAGGGTTTGAAGTGTGAGTCCCCCAGGCAAATAACTATTGCATGTGAAGTGCTGAGTGAGGGAAATCTAGAATGTATGGTGGATGAGAGAGATGATAAATATCAATTGGGATCAATTGCAGGAACAGTAGTTTGTTCCACCAATTTTTCCATATCATATCTTTTGCAGGTTCCCTGCCTGAAGGCTCAGAGACAGTGGACTCAATGTAGGGCATGAGTGGGCTTGAACAGTACAAAGATTAGACTTGTAGCCCTGCCTCACTTCCTCTCAACTTGATGCCTGAGTTCAGCCACAGATTGGGTAGAGTCCTGGTTGGGCTTTGATTCACTTCATGGTCAGTGATTCTGTCAAGTGGATATTTGCCTTCTGTCCTGGAATGACTCTGATGCTACAGATGCTGGGGGAGCTCACTCAGACCATACACATGCACAGCTCACAGTGGAAGGGAGTTCATACTCCTGATGACAACTGTCAACCACTGGAGGAGAAAGCAGATGCATTAGTCCTTCCACTTGAAGTCCTATAAGTAAACATCTTAGGAGGCCATCTGTATGCTGCTCAGGGAGTCCTTGCATATTTGAGCTCCTGTTGCCCACATCAACTTCGATAATGCATCCTGATTTTGCTTTTCCTTCTTTCCTCCTAAACCTCTCATTTCTACTCCCTGGGATCAACACCTAAACAATTGCATGTCCAATAGCCTTTATCATAGGCTCAGTTTTGTAAGACAAAGGACAAGAAGTGACATATAATGACAACACAGTTAATTTTCTATAGTCAAATTAACCAGTACTAGGGAATGTCCTTTATTCTGAGATGATATTCTTCATTTGTATGCTAGTAGAATAATGGCTCCCCTCAAAGATGTCCCTGTTCTAATCCCTGAAACCTGTGAATATGTTATCCTACATTGCAAGGGGTTTTATAGATGTGATTATATTAAGGAACTTGAAATGGGTCAAGTATCCTGAATTATTGAGTCCCAGTAGTTACAAGGGTCCCTAAAAGGTAGAAAAGGGAGGCAAGAGAGTTAAAGAAAAAGATGTGATGACAGAAGCAGAGGTCTGAGTAATACAGCTGCTGGCTTTGAAAGTGGAGGAAGGGTCCATGAGCCAAGGAATGCAGATGGCCATTAAAAGCTGGTAAAAAGAAAAAAAAACCCACAAGAAAATGCATTCTTCCTCGATTTGATTTGAGCTTAGTGAAGCCTTTTTTCAGACTTCTGACTCCCAGAAGTGTAAAATAATAAATTTGTATTGTCCTAAGCCCACAAAGTTTGTGGTAATTTGTTATAGGACCACCAGGAGACTTGCACACTTGGTGATAAATGACTTGTCTCTTATGAAATGATTGTGACACTAGATGTTAGTTGCTCTTATTTGGCAAATAAATGTCCTTACGTGGCACATAAAAAAATGTCAGGCTTCGGCAAGCATTTGACATTTTGCTAGTGTATGAAGTTCTAAAAGTATGGGATTCGGCATAGCCAGTGAAAGCTCTGCAAGACTTTTTGTGAGAGGCCAGTTTTCCTGCAAAACCCCAAACCATTTATCTGGCAGCAAAGCCAGGAAAGTGATATTCATCCTGCTGAGTGATTAGCTTTTGTGCTGGATATTTTCTGTTTCCTCTTCGGATCCATTATCTACACTTCAACACTCTGTTCTGAGCTCTGAGAGGTTGATCTTTATGGACCGGATCAGTGGACTCCCTTGTTCTCTGACTGCCAGTTGGATCTAGCATAATGGGAGGCACCAGAAGGAGGTCAGAGGGTGGGAGGAGCAGGAGGTTGGGATATTTATTCACCACTTGCACCCTTTGGCAGTTGCTGTGAGTGGCAGCGTCCTCTTGCTCCCTTCGCCAGGTTTCAGTCACCTCTCCAATGTGGTCATGGCTCCCCTACGGTTGAAGCCCCAGGGTCCTTCACTATCCTCAGTAGTTTCTTTAAATCCTGATCATAACTTCATAGGTAGTCCCTTTATTACACTCTCCTCAAATTACTCATTCCAAGTGAAATGTGACTGATAGTCAGGAAGGGCAGCTGCTCTTACCTTGAGGGTCAATGATGGCTGAAGTAAGTTCCTTCACATCAGCGTTCCAGAACTCACAGGTGAAGTTTCTGCCCGGGAGCAGCTTTAGGCGCAGGATACTCGTGACCCGGTAGAGGCCGTCAGCGGTCTCCATGTGGCTAGTGTTGGCAGAAAAACTGATATTCGGCCAGGAGACTTCTGCCAGGGGGTACCCTTCAGCCTGGCAGGTGAGCTCTACCTCATCTGTCTCTGGAACTTGAAGGATGCGAGTGTTTATTTTCTTGTAGGAAGCTGGACGACAGGAGAAGAAAAAAAATAAGTCTTTCTTTTCTGATTCCCGTAGAGCTCTGTACCCAATACCATATGAAATAAAAAAAGTAATCATTATCAATATTAAGTAATAATGCCTTTACTTTTTAAAAACATTTTCTTTGTCCCAGACATGCTATTTTACACACATTGAGTTATTTAAGTATTACAAGACAACAGAAAATGGTGTTGTTGATATTCCCAATTTTTGTTGGAGGTAACTGAAGCTAGAGAGGTTGAATGCTTTGTGTGATGAGTGACCTTAGAGTCTGATCTGCAAACCTGGAGTCTTAGGTTAAGCTGAAGGAACAAGAAACAAAAGGACTCTAGTCTAAGTCATGTTCTCCTGTGTAAATTACCAGAGAAGCCCCAGAATAAGGAGATGGGAAAATCATGTTCTTATCCACTTATTAGTTTAAAAATGGAGGTCATTTCCCATTTGGTATTAATTCTTGTGTATATTGCTCCCTTAGTTTAGAACATGGAGAGGAGCAGGGGAGAGTGGCTCTAATTCCTGACTCCTTCCCCTTAATATACATTATGTCATTTAAACTACACAAGGACCTTGTGAGGTAGGTAAAATTCATATTCTTATTTTGTAAATAAGGAAACAACTGGAATCAGGGAGGGATGCAGGAGGACTTGAACTCATGCCCTTCAAGCTACTGTATTCTCAATTTTGTATTGGAATCATCATCAGAGGATGATTCTCTATGCAACTGAAAATGTCTAGGGATGGGGCAATATAGAGGAAGGGTGTTTTCCAGGGGGACTTGGGAGTACCTAGAATTAGTATACAAGGAGAATCAGGTTCTGAACCAGCCTACTGAAGGACTTGAACCAGTTAGACTAACCAATCTTAGAGCCAAATACTAATAATCAGTCATGCATTCTGAATACTCATTTTGTTACTTATCTACACTTTTCCCTCCTTGGTACAATGTTCTCTTATAGTCATGTTGTAGGTTATTTCTGAAGCTCTGGGGAATTTGGGGGGATGGAGGAGCATAAATGAATTTATAGGAGTAGTGTGTTGTGGGTGAAGGTCTGGCCTGCTCCCACAGGGTAGCTTGGGATAAGAAGCTGATCTTCATGGCCAAGTTGATAGGTGATTTCAGAGCTAGGAGGGTGAGGAATCAGGAGCTGGGCTAAGGCTTGCACCTGGCTATCTATCTATCTATCTATCTACCTATCATCTCTCTCTCTCTCTCTCTCTCTCTCTCTCTCTCTCTCTCTCTCTCTCTCCATATATATATATATGGAGATGGGAGAGAGATGCTCAACTAAAAGAATCAGCAAAGTTTGGGGAAGGGACAGGATAACATGTCTACATTTATAAAACTTCAAGATGTTGCCACAGCCTCTTATATTTGGGAAGTGGCTGAAATGGCATCACTACCAGCAACACACAATGAGGAAGCTGGATTGAGAATATTATTCTTAGGAAAAGATGAGTAAATTTTAGAATTTCAGAGGTGGGAGTGGTCTTAAAATACAACTAGCCCAACTTCCTGCTCTAGAAATATCTTTAGTAACTTTGGAAGATAAATACCTTGATGCATGCACTTGGAAATATATTCTGCAGTTGTTGGGTAGAAGTTTCATGTATGTTAGTTAGGTCAAAATGGCTATGTTGTTCAACTCTTCTAGTTTTTGTTGTTGTTGTTACATCAGTTATGATAGAGATGACTCAGTCTCCAAATATAATTGTGGATTTGTTTATGTCTCCTTTTACACCTGACAAGTTTTGTTTTATATATTTTGAAGCTATGTGTTTGATGTACACACATGTCTTCCTGTTGAGTTGACTTTTTATCATTATGAAATGTCCCTTTTTATTTTTAATAATATTTCTTTCCTAATATTAGTAACTTGCGAGATAACTAACTTTTCATTAAGTAAATCTATGAATGGAAGCTCTTATAGAAGTAGTTATTGCCATCATTAGACAATAAAAAGTTAAACTTTCATTGAAAAAAGCATCCTTATGCCAAGTCAAATTTTGCCTCATGGTGACTTCAACCATTGGTTCTTGTCTGGTTTAGTAGAACAACACATGGTAATCACAGTAGTTAGAACATAGGCTTCAGAATCTGAAAGGTTTGACTGGGCTTGAGCCAACGGCTAGTTACATGACCTGTTGAGCCTTCAAGTTTTTCATTTATAAAACTGGTACAATAATACTTATCCTTAATAGGAGTTAGAATGATTAAATGAGTTCTGTGACTAAAACATAATAAATACTCAATTAGTGTTAGTAATTATTAGCTCTTCCATATGAGAAGGCAACTTTTCCAGTATTTGAAAACAACTAATGAAACTCCATATAGTCAGTTCATTTGTAGATAAACAGATTACTTTCTATCAACCATTTCTCACAGGACATAGTTATCAAACCCAGTGCTACATACCAGTTTTTGGATTCACTTTCTTTTTTCCAATGTAACGTGAGCTATATTGCAGATATTATGTAAGCAGTACAAAGTCTAGTGTGACTAATTACCTCCTATGCACTGAGCACACTTTAGGCCCAACAGGCTAGGGTCATAAAATCAATTTTGTTAAATAAATGAACTACTGCCTAGCTTCATTGGCTGTAACAGACCCCTTGGCACTTGGAGATTCTCTCCAGGTTGACCCAAGACCATCAATCACCCTTTGCTGGCCCTGACTCAGCAGCTACTAGTTGTTTTGTCTATTATAGATATAGGTAACTACTACTATTCAACACACATTTCACTATTTTATGCACAAGGTGTGTGCTGTGTGGGTCCTGGGCCTGTTTGTCCTCAGATCCATCCCTCAATTTTTCTCCTCTGCTTTTTACTGCAGGAAGACTGATTCCTGCAGGCTGTGTATTCCGGGTTCTTGACAGCCAATAGGAACATGATGGGAAGCTTGAAGGGTGAGAGAGGGGAAAATGTTAGGGTATTCCTCCCCCATGCTTTGTGTTATACTTGTCTCTCCAGCAACAGCTACATTTCTTCCCTGGCTCCCGCTACCACTGGACAGGCCCACTGGGATTCTAGTGTCTATCATGTGACTCTGGGCCCTATGCTCCACCAGCCTGCCTTCCTGTTTTCCCTCCAGCCCACTGGTGGTAGCAGCTTCCTAGGTAGGCTTCTCAGTCTATTCCATCAAAAGATTTCCTGATTTAAATCTCCACTGGTTTAAGTGCTTTCTGTTTTCTTTGACTATATGATGTATAAATTACTGGCAACTCTAGCATTGCTGAAATAAAGATAAGCTGTACATAGTATTGTTTGTTTTATCATCATAATGACTGTAACTAAGGTTAAAATAAAAAAAGCAGGTTTCCATGTCCTAGCCTCAAACAATTCCAACAAATTTCTAACAATCACTGACAAAAATTTTTTAGGATTGCTCTCATTTGTCTGGAGAGGAACCTCAGGTTAAACAGTTTATAATTCCCAGGAGCTTTTCCCTGCTTCAATATTCATTGTTCCTTAACTCCTTATTCCCTTCTGTTTCCCCAGTGGAGAAAAGACACCAAGATCAGAGCCCCCATCAGTAAGTTCTTTTCGCAAGTGTTTTCTCTGGGGCTTGAGGCTGAAAGCATAGCCATCTTTTCACTACCACATCGCTCCTCTTGGGCTGTTTCCTCCCTATGCCCTTTGTCGTCCCTTCTTAGGGTGAAGACCATTTCTCTAGTAATTACGAATGGAAGCCATGCCTCCTCCATCCTCCACTTGCTGAAGTTGCACTGTCTCTCTAGGGCCTTTTTGTTGATTTGAGGTACTTCTGCAAGTCTCAGCTCATTCCAGGTGTTGGCTGTCTCCCATCCTCATCGTCATGCTTTGTCCAGGCCTTCAGGTTGGTGTGGTCCTTCTCTTCTTAGTACTTGCTCTGTGTCTGTTGGGGATTCTTTGCATAGGCCGGTTCTCAACCTGTGAGCTCAATTCCTTCTCCCTTGGAAAGTTTTTCACTGTTTTTGCAGTTGCAACCTGGCTTTTCAGAAGCTGCAGCCTCCTGTTACTGTTTCTTCTGCACTCTCCAGCCATCTTACCTTCTATTTTCCCCCCTTTGCTTTTGAAATCTGTTAATCAGTTCTTTTTTCATATATTTAATATGAACTGTTGCCCAGACATTAAAGAAGGTGCAAAAAAATATTTTCAATGTTTATACCATAGGTCAGACATTTTAAGAAAAAAGCTCGTCCTTCCTTTAGTCCTATTTCATGTAAGCAAACCCTAACTAGGGCTCCAGTTCTCCTCTGCTTCCTTCAGAGATCCCTGATCAGGATAAAATACTCAGGTGATAATGGTCAACTTTTTTTCCCCCTTGCATTTCTCCGAAAAGAATTGTGATGCAGTGTGCACCCTCTCACATATTAAGTTGATTCTTAAAGTTTTTAGTGTTTCTAGGTTGGAAAAATATATGACATTTAGCAGTTTGGAAACATTTATATTTCTAATAAAACAATTATCTCATTCTTACATATGTACCTAATGTCATCTAGATATGGAAGGAAGTTTTTTATAGACACTGCCATCTGTTGAAAAGTGCAAACAAAAATTTTTCCCTAATGGTCAGAGCTTTAGTTTGTTTCTTTTTATTCTTTGAACCTTCATTTCCATTCCACTTTTCTATAGGATTTTATCCTAATGCATCATATTAAAAGGTCTTTTATTGATTATTCCATGTTTCTTTGCAACCAAACGTGATGTGTGGCTATTAAAATTAAATATTTTTTCTTGTGACTGTAAGGCTTCAAGTGTTCAAAGCTTTCTTCTGCATTGAAATCTAATTTCCATTATTATTAGCACATGTGAAATCAAAACATAAAAATATAAATATTGATAGTTCTTAAACATAAATTTTTATTGGAAATGTATCTCTTATGGGATGAATGGGGCTTTCTTCCTGATTTGTTCATGAATCAGAGGATCCATATGATTTATGGTTGAAATGAGACAAGATTCAACATCAATTCTATTTCTATCTGTCCTTTTTTTTTTTTTTATAGCTATAAGGATTAAGGAATCTTGCCCATAAAAATAAGTTGGTGGGGATGGAAGTAAGGCATTTCATTCTTTGAAAGCCTTATGTTTATATGGCAACAATTACTTCATCTTTTATTATCAGGTGCTCATCTATTAGGGCCTTCTTCAATTTTGTTGAAAACAGAGAACTCAATATCTCCTCATCTGCAATAGATTTGTTAGTCATTATAGTTTGGTAAGTTATTAATATTTCTAATTACTCTTTTGTTTAGGGTTATGGAGGTTTTTGTTGTTGTTGTTGTTGTTTTGTAGAGAACCCACAATTCAGTTTTATTCAGAGCAAAGAAAAAAGATACTTTTGATCAGGGGTCCTCAAACTTTTTAAACACGGGGCCAGTTCACTGTCCCTCAGACCACGGGAGGGCCGGACTATAGTTTTAAATAAAAACTATGAACAAATTCCTATGCACACTGCACATATCTTATTTTGAAGTAAAAAAACAAAACGGGAACAAATACAATATTTGTATTTGCATGTGGCCTGCGGGCCATAGTTTGAGGACCCCTACTTTTGATCATACTGGAAAAAACTCAGCCATAGGTTTGGAATCTGTACCCAAACTACACATGCAATGAGGACAAAATTCTGCTAATACAATTGATTTGCTGCTGCATTTGTCTTCTGTTTGCCTAATATTAACAATTATAAATAGACCAGGGCAACTAGTATTTGAAACAATCCTTACAGTGTCAGACACAACTTTTCACTCTCTTCACACCACTGGTTCTCTTTGCGTACCTGGGCTTCCTCTTCTTCAGTAAAGTCATTTTTGAGATTGAAGGTCTTGCGAAGCTCTTCAGGGGTTTTCCCCTTGATCATATTGGCAACAGTCTTGCATGTAACCTCAAGCAAACCTTTGATGTCTAAATAGTTTGCAGCCAGAATAAGTTTAAATAGTGTTCCTTGGTCAACTTTGAGCAATTCTTGGTCCCAAACAGGGATATCATCTGTTCACTTTTCTTTGTTCTCACTGTCCTCAGGAGGAGGAGGGTCATCCTTGTGGTGGGTGCAGCATTGAAAGCCCTTTTTTAATGTTGCTGCGTTAACATTTGGTAGAGGAACTGGGCCATCATCGCCTTCAGCATCCATTCCCAAATCTTCTAACATGGTCTTGATAGTCACAGATTGTTTGGCAATTTCAACATCAGCTTCAAATATCTCTCCATTAGAACTCTGTAATCTAATTGCAGGCATGGTGCTCGGGCTCAAGGAGAGAGCGGGTTGGAGGCTGATGAGAGCAGGACGGCATCAGCAGAATCAAAAGAAAAAAGTGGAGAACAAGGCCACTTACGGGGTTATAGAGGTTTTTACACTGTTGGGCAATGCACTGTATTCATGATGGGTGACAGGTGGGCTTTTCTGAAGTGGAAGAAAGCAATACTAAAAGAGGAAGTGTTCTAGGGGAACCCCAAGAGCCTTGCCTGGAA